TACAAACGCGCGCGCGCGTGCAGATCCTTGAATATCAAAAATGATATATTTCAAATTTAGATGACCTCCTCTTCTGATCTGAGAATGAAGTTTTACATTGGGTTTTCACCATTCGGTTTTTGAGTTAACATCGCTTCCATTCTATGGTAATGCATACAAATCCGTTGGCGGTCGCGCCCCCGCGCGCGCGCGCGGGAGGATCATTTCGTATGCAAATTTGTATATTTCACATTCATATAATCGCCTCTTTGTGATCTGAGAATGAAATTAACATCGCTGCCATTGTATGGAAATGCATACACATCCGTTGGCGGTCGCGCCTGCGCGCGCGCGCGCGCGTGAAGATCATTGAATATGGGAGCTGCTACATTTCACATTCATATAATCGCCTCTTGTGATCAGAGAATGAAGTTTTACATAGGGGTTTTCACCATTCGGTTTTTGGAATGAACATAGCTTTGATTGCGTTGAAATGCAACTTAAGTGCGCAGGTGCGCGCACAACGCGCGCGCGCGGAAGGACCTGTCAGCATGCCCTCTGCTGATCAGATAATGAAATTTTACACTGGGTTTTCACCATTGGATTGTTGAATTAACCCTGCTTCATTTGCATAAAATTGCAGGCAACTGCGGTGCTTGTCGCGCGCGCGCAAGGTCTGCGCTGCCGCAGGGCAAGGCACGTGCGCGTTGCGCCATGTGAATTTGAAAGTCAAACCGGTGAGAAGATAGTTGGGCATTGGCCCTGAGAGGCCTTTGACTCTGAAGGCGACGGGTTTCATGCGGATGGGCAGCGAGCTCCCTGAAATATAAGTTGACCCGTTTGGGCCCTCGGAGGCCCTGGACCCTCAAGCGGTGGAAAGGCTGGGGGGGTTGCGGGGAGTGGCGTTGCGCGGATTGGCCGAGGGCCTCCGAGATTCTAGTTCGTCTCCATTGTTTGGGCCCTGGGGGGAAAGGCGTGGAGGGGTGGGGGGTGGGGGCCTGGGCCCTTAGATGGGGGGGGGGAAGCCACGTGGATGGACAAGGCCTCAGAGAATGTGGTGAGCAGAATGTGGTGAGCCCTGAGAAGCTCTAGACCCCCTGAGCGGGGGCAGAGGGGATGGGGGAGGGAGGCGTGGCCACGCGAATAAACCGAATGCATCTCTGGAACCAGGGGGGCTAAGTGAGGCACTGGACCCAAAGGGGTTGATGCACTTTTGGCAACGATGGCACGACGACAGCGACGATTGAGACTCTGAAACTCTGAAGGGCTCTGAACTTGTCAGAGAGGGCCCCGCGAGGACCCCATATAGAGTTCCTCGGCGATCTGGGGCCAGTCTGGTTGTAGAATGTATTTTGCGAAGGCGGCAACATCTGAACCCCCTGGGGCCCGCTTGGCGCCCTCTTGGGCCGCGTATAATGCCTATCCATTCGACCGACCCCTTCCCCCGCCCCTCGTCTTTCGCCTCCGTGGCCGCTGGTCCTGCTCCCGCGCGTCGGCGGGGAGCCCGTCCACGCGCGCGGCGTGGATTCTCCTCTCGGGGGGGGGGGGGGCGGAAGACAGAAGAGAGAGAGAGAGAGAGAGAGAGAGAGAGAGGAGAGAGAGAGAGAGAGAGAGAGAGAGAGAGAGAGAGAGAGAGAGAGAGAGAGAGAGAGAGAAGAGAGAGAAGAGAGAGAGAGAGAGAGAGAGAGAGAGAGAGAGAGAGAGAGAGAGAGAGAGAGAAAAAAAAAAGAGAAAGAGAGAGAGAGAGAGAGAGAGAGAGAGAGAGAGAGAGAGAGAGAGAGAGAAAGAGAGAGAGAAAGAGAGAGAGAGAGAGAGAGAGAGAGAGAGAGAGAGAGAGAGAGAGATGGAGCGAGAGCCGAGATTGACGCGCTGGGACATGAGGCGAGGGGCGGCGAGAGCCGAGAGCAGGAATGGCGACGAGGAAGCATGCAATGAGGAGGAGGGCGGGCAGTCTGATCGCGGGCCCAGGCCGTGACACGGGAGCGCATCCGACTGTTCGCGTGCCTCTCTCGCACGCTTCGTCGACACCATCGCCCCTGCCACTCCCTCGCCTCATCTCCTCAGCGTCACCCCGCCCTCCCCCCTCCCCCCAAACCCTTCCCCCTGCGAGTCCTCTGGTCGCGCAGCGAGGTCGACGCTCTGAACCTGCAGTCGAATCGCCAGGCCTTCTTCGGGATCTTCGCGCCGCAGATCCAGCACAGCGCCTGAGCCGACGGGGATTTCTCGAAACCCTTGATGCCCTTGGACAGCACCCCGAACGCTGGAGCAGGACCAGCAGACACATGAGGGCCCACTGGGGGCGCACCAGGTCCATCACCAGGACGTGGCGGAACCGGAGCGCCAGTGGCGACAGGCACAGCAGGGCCAGGGCCAGGACCAGGCGCCTGCGCAGGATGGGGGGGAGGCGGGCGGGGTGCGGAGGGGTCGCAGAAGACGAAGACCAGGGCCCCCCAGGGCCAAGGTTCCGCGCGGCAGGGGGGCCGCGGCACGCGGCATGCCCATGGGCGGAGGCGAGGGGACTGGAAGGTGGAGGAGGACCAGACCAACAAAACAAACAAAACAAACAAAGGTGGACGGCGGTGGAGCGGAGGGCGAGGAGGGCAAGGGGAGGGGCTGGGGCGCGGGAGGAAGAGGATCGAGAGCCGACGGGGGGATGGGGAGTTTCGGCGACTACACGACCAAAGCGACGCCAAGACTCCAGCCAGTTTTCACTCGACACCCTGTTTCAGCGGGCGGAGAGAACGAGACAATGACATGCGAGGAGGTGAGGAGCGAGGACGGTGAGTCGGCGGCAGACGGAGATGGGCAGCAGGCAGGAGTTTGATGATCAGGGGCCTCGTCGCTGCTAGTAGAGCTGCCCTCGTCGAAATCGCTGCCCCTGTCGGGGGCGGCCTCGTCCATGCCCTCTGGGTCAGACTCGTCGCTGTGCGGCTCTGGCTCAGCGTGCTCACCGTCGCCGTGGCCGCTGTGGTGACCATGGTCATCGGAACCAGCTGCGGCGGCCGTCGCCTTCTGAGCTACGACCACTTTCTTCGGCTTGATGCCGAAGGGCAGCGCGTCATTTTTTCCCGACGCGGCTTCTCGACCTCGGCCACCAGCAACGACTCGTTCATAACCAAGACTCGCTTCTCGAAGATCAACATGTCAGCTTCGGGGTCCGCGTCGCCTCGCCATGCAATCACCGATGCATGGTGGATCTCTGACGCCGATGCGCCAAGTGCGATGGCGCTGTCCAGGAGAACGTTCCGAAAGACGAGATGCCAAGTACGGGTAACTGCGCGCCCGCGACCGTCAACAGCCACAGTAGCGGCGCGATCGAGGGCGCGACCAGGCGGCGCGCACGCGTTCAGGAAGTACGCCGCCTCGCCTTTCCCGAACAACCTGCAATAGAGCACGTGCTGCCCTGCCCCCTCGGCTCCTGGAACAAAGATGTGCACGGGCAAGGGGGCAGCGTGAATCAGGCCAAGCCTCGCCAAAGCAGCGTAGAAGTTCTTGAGCGACGTGCCGCATAGGTCGACCACGTCGTCTGTCTCGCAAAGGCCGCCGTACTTCATGCAGCACGCTTCGTCGGCCGGCATCGGCCCAGACGCTGTCAGCACGCGGGGGTCGCACGAGAAGGACGCGCGCGCCGAAGCCCCAACTCGTTCGTCCGCCCAGTCAACCACGAAGTCGGGCCGCAAGGCAGAACTCATGCAAGCAATCCCTGCGCCGCACTTCCACACGTTGTGCCCCTCCATCTCGCGCATGCTGCATAGCGCTGCTCCCCGTCTAACCTTCCGACGGGCTTCTCCCCGAGATGGCAGGGCCCAAGGCGTGGCAGTTGCTCGGTCGACGTATTCCTTGAACGATATCCCTTCGCACCCGTCGACCTTTGTTTGTTCTGATTGGGCAAGGCCTTCGTAGTGGGCCGTCTGAGCTGGGCTGCGTCGCCTCCAGCGCTCCGAAACAGAAACGAGCCTCTCGGCGGAAGAGCCCGCGGCGACTGCATCTGGCTCATCATTTCCCCTCTCAAAGTTGGGGCTGATGAACATGTCGTAGGCCCCGACCTTCCTCTTCTTCCTGAACGCGCTGCCCCAGTGGCGCCTCTTCCGCTTGAGCGGGTTCTTGCCTTTCAGATTCTTGGAGGTCTTGAAAGCGTGCAGGGCCCGGTTGTACCGCCTAGCGTTCTTCTCGCCGGCGCACTCTGCAATGCGTCGCACTGTCGGGTTGCGAGCGTCTCGGCGGATGGCGGCAGCGTAAGTTGTGGCTCCGAAGGTTCTCAACTGAAGTGCGCGCCCGCGTCACTTCCGAGCTTCCTGTCCCAACGTATGTTTCCGCTCGACCTTGGTCGACGCAACCCTCAGGGCGCTCAGCAGACGTCGAAGCACACGGTGAGCTCTCCGAGAAGTGGATCGCTCGCGAAGCCGCCTCAGCCAAACTCGGCTAAAGCATGGGTCCACGCACATTGCACACGCTGTAGCCTGCGCGTGCACAACGTTCAACTCAATCGATATCGTGTCGAAGTCCCAGATGTGGCCCCTCACGGACCGCAAGATTTTGAACGCGGGCTGGTCGCGCGGGCGAACCGGCCGCCGCCAAGTGTCCACGATCGCGACGCACATCCGCCGAGACGCCTCGCGGCAGACGGGCTAAGCAAACCGAGGAGGAACAGTTGAAGGGTGGGAGGAGAAGGAGGAGAAGAGAAGGGGCGTAGAGCAGAGAGGAAAACAGACCCGTAGGAGGAGGAAGGGGAGAGGGAGGAGGAGGGAGGAGGCGCAAGGAGATAGGAGGCACCGCAGCCCCGCAGCCCGCCGATCGAATGGATTCAAAGACGGCCCAGGACCCCAAGACCCTGGAGCCCAGGAAGGCACCTCGCAATGAATGGGCCCCTGGTCAGGCCTTTCTCCTCCCCGCCCTCGTCATCATCCCTTCGCCTCCTTCTAACTCTCGCACCCGACGCCATCTCCGCCATCTCCTCCCCCTCCCACCTCCCCTCAGCTTGCAGGGATCAAGGCAAAGCGTTAGCGCATATCGGCCTCGACCTTGCCCGTCGGGAGGCCCACGAGCTCGTGCCAGGCATCGTGCCTGAAACTGGTGACCATTGCAGAATACGTGGCGATGACGTCCATGCCCTTGGAGCCGCTCAAGATGCCGAGGTTCCTGGATATGGCATCGCGCTCGGCCACTTCAAAATCCTGGGGCGGCGTCCAGGGCTGAGATCCATCAAATGGCGTCGACAATAAGGCAAATGCGCACTTTGTTGCGGCTGCCTCAGCAGCCAACGCAGAGTTCAAGTACATATGCAAGGGCTTCGCCAATATAACAGCCTGCTCAATGCTGCGCCCGCCAGGGTCTGCGTCGAAGAACTGGATTGCCTGATGCTCTGTTTCGCCATGTTCACTCTCATGTCCTCGTTCGCCTGCAGGTTGTCGCTCAGGTACTTCTCTGCCGCCTCCACGCTGCGCTGCGTAAACAGTGGCCGAAGACCCCTCGCGAGGAGATCGTGCTGTCGTCGACCGCGGAGGGCCCACGCTGCAGCGGACTCAAATCCGCCGACCCTCCGCGGGCCTCTAGGCGCGCGATGTACTTTCCGCAGCACCTATGCATGTCTATGAGAACCTCAGGGTTGCAACCAACAAAGGGGGCAGCGGCATTTGCTGTCGCGTCGACCTCTCTGATCCCTCCCAGCGGTAAAGAAGAGGAGTATCGAGCTTCCCGAACGCCGACAATGCAATCAAATCCGTGACCTTCTTCACATAATCATCGGGGCTACTGCACTTCAGTGGGCATCGACCTTCCCCTAAGCAATAGTGATATATGTTATGTTGGTCGTTCCAATCCCCATTGTCCGCCGCCAAAACCAGCAGCTCCTGATCAAGACTGAAATCTCGAAGTGCTCGCGAAGCCTCCATGACTCGAAGGGACTGGCGGTGCCACTCGGCGGCGTCAGCTGGCATGGATTCCACAAGTGCGTACTGGAAACACCTCGATATGATATCTCGGACGTTCTCTTCGAATTTGGTGCTGATGCGATGCGATTCCATCCAATGGCCCAACTTGACCAGCTTCGACGGCACACCGTTGATACTGCGCAGTGGTTTCATCGCAAGCACACAAGAATGCCCAACACAACAAAGAGGCAGAAGCGTGGTTCCGTAGTTAATGATGTCGGTAGTAGCGTGCTGCACCTTCAGCACCGCTTGCTCCATTGCTACAATGTTGTTCCTCAAGCCAAGGTTGTCTTTGTTCATCACGATGGCCTTCCATGAAACGCCGCCCAGTACCTGGCGAAGCTCGTTTTCGGGATCTACGGATGTGCCAGCGCCAATAGCAGACATCGCCGACCACTTCGCCCAGCGTTCCCGAATAGTAGCAGCATTTCCCTTGGGGAGAGGCTGCGCGGGGCTAGCCACTTCGGCTCCGCACCAAAACTGCATGCCGTCAACATGGCGCTCGACGGATCTAGTTTCACGCAAGTTGAGTGCTGTCTTGTGCACGCGGCCACCGCGCTGCTTTTGTTGTTAAGCAAGGGTCTTGGATAACGTCTCGAGCGCATTGGACTCTGATGCCCTCTGTTTCGTCACCCACATGCTGGCGTCATCGAATACATTCACCGCTATCACCGATGAACAGTCTAGATCATGACAACCTCGATCCAAGGTCCCACTGATCATGGAGGCTAAGCCTTTCGCTTGATGCACAACGTGGGATACCAATACCCTGCGAAGCCTGCAAGCAGCAACCCTGTCGGTCTTATGGGCGAGGGTCACAGCATGAACCTCGCTGCCAACGATGACGTGATCCAACTGCGCGGCTGGATTGGCATCGTGTCCCCGCGTCGGTGCTCCCGATGTCATGCGGGATTCATCAGGGACCAGCGCGCGGGATAGCGCATCCAATTCGACTTCTCGTTGCCGAATGTTCTTCAGCTGCAAGTTGACTTGTCTGGTTCGGATCTCAGCCGCACTCCGATGAAAACCTCGGCTCCTGCCCCGTCCTCTGCCTCGGCCCGCGGCAACGCGGCCCCTGCCGCGAGCGGGATCGGCAACGGCAGGTGGAGGCCCCACGCGAGCCGCAGCAGGCCCTGGGCCCGCGACGGGAAACGCCACATCAGCTTCGTACAAAAAAGCAAACATCTCGAACCAAATAGGATGCGCATGGGAAGTTGCGGCGAGAACGAAAAGGAACATCAAAACACATTCTGGCACGGCGCGGGCGGGGGGGGGGCCTGAAGGATCCCCTGGAAATTATGACGGGCATTGCACTCGGACAGCAATAAGCAATGGCCGCACGGGGCAGGGCGTGCCAAAGGCAACTCCCACGAGAAATCGCCAGACGGCCCGACATAAAACCCTCCCCCAACGATCCTACCATCATTGTGCCTCCTCATCCTATTCGTGCCCACTCCTTCCCTTTTGGTACTCCTCCTCCTCGTCATCCCGCTTCTCGGCTTGGTTCTCCTATGCCAACGCCCTTCGGCCTCCTCGGTCGGTCACCCTGGAACTACTGCTGCCAATAATTCTTTGTGCAACGTCATGCGCCCCCCCCCGCTTGCCCACCCCATATTTCCCTTGCGCCCTATCTCCCCGTTTGTTGCGCCCCCGCGCGGCACCCCCTTCGCGCGCGTGATGTTTCGCGCGCCCCCCCCCCCCCACGTCGCGTGCTACCCGTTCTGTGAGTTCCCATCCCCGCCGCCGTCCGTTCTGTCAAATACCTTGTGAATAACAGCGGCCACTGTTACAAACAAATATCACAGAACGTGAACGTATAGGACTTTACCCTTCGAGTCTAAACAATTGCACATACAATATCATTTCAGCGCAGCATGAGCATTACAACATGAAAAAAACACACCATTGAAAACACCTTCTTGCACCGAGGCCCTGCCAGCCTCTCGCTGTTATTTCAGGGAATCATTCGGGTTGGATATACAATTCGGTGAGAGGACAAATAATCAGCGCAATGGGAAGGGATGGGAGGGATGGGTAGGATGTCAGATGTGGCGCGAGCGCACCTAGCTTGTCATTCCCCCCTCTCCCTTTCCCAGGCCTGCTTCGTACCCCCCCCATAAGAACGCATGGCGTTTCGGCAGCGTGAGACCCCCGCACTGCCGCGCCCTCGCCAGGGCCCGCTTCTGCAGCAGCACGGGCAGATTCACGCAGGGGCGGGCCGACGCCTTCCCATCTACAATCCCATGCCCAGCCGCCCTTGCCGCACCTAACTGTCCGAACGGCCGCCCCTTGGACAGACGCACGGGTTCCACGACACATGGTCCGCGTGCTGCTGGCCAAGGCCACCGGCCACAACTTGGGGAGCTGTGGCCCTTACCCCCCTGGGGGCACCCATCACATCGACGATCTTTCGAGAAGGGCGTCAGAATCGATGAGTCCCCCAGGGGGGTAAGGACCACAACTCCCCCATGTGTGGCTGGCCTGCTACGGGGCACGCGGGCTCCGGCATGAGAGGCGGGCATCGGGCGCGCATTGGCCAGGCGATCCTGGCCGAGACTGGCCGAGGGCGGCGCGCCTCCTCCCCCAAGGGCGCCAGCTCCGGCACCAAAGGCGAGCATCGAGCGCGCAGTGGCCGGCTGAGGCTAGCCGAAAGCGGCGCGCCTACCCCCGAGAGCGCCGGCACCTGCACGAGGAGCGAGCATCGGGCGTGCAGTGGCCAGCCGAGACTGGCCGAGAGCGGCGCGCCTACCCCCCCTAAGAGCGCCCGCTCCGGCACGAGAGGCGGGCATCGGGCGCGCAATGGTTGCCGAAGGCGGCGCGCCCCCCCCCCAACAACGCCGAATCTATTGCGAGAGGCGAGCATCGGGCGTGCAGTTGCCGGCCGAAGCCGGCCGAAACTGGCCGAGAGCGACGCGCCTCCCCCCCGAGAGCGCGAGCTCCAGCTCGGACGTGCAGCGGCCGGCCGAGACTGGCTCAGAGCGGCGCGCCTGCCCCCCAAGAGCGCCGGCCCCGGCGCGAGAGGCGAGCATCGGACGCGCAGTAGCCAGCCAGCGGCCCCGTGGCATCAGGGACGCAGGCGCTCAACCTCCCAGCCCTTTTCGCCCTCCCCCGCCCCGTCTCTTCCGCCCGACCGCCCGCCTCCCGGCCAGCGGCCCCACAGCGTCAGGGAGTCAAAGACCGGGCGCCAACAACTCAGAGCCTCCCCTGTCTCCTGTTCCACCCCCGCCCGCCCGACCGTCCGTTTCCTGTCCGATGGCCCCGCAGCGCCAGGGACTCGAAAATCAGGCGCCCAAGCTCCGAGCCCCCACCCCCCTCCCGCATCCGCCCAGCCGCCAGCCTCCCGGCCAGCGGCCCCGCTGCCAAATCGATCCAGGGCGGCGCGATGGCCCAGCGTCTCGCTCGGCAGCCCCATGGCCGAGCAATGCTGGCCGAATGCCCCAGCAAGATGCTGGCCGTTCCGCACTCCTCCACTCCTCGACTCCTCTTCTCACCTCACCCCCAGGCCCCTCCCCCTGAAGGTGGCCGACTCGAGGCAACGTGCCGGCCCCGCGTCTGGCTCGGCCCTTTCCCCCGTAGCGGCGGCGCGGCGACCCGACGTCTAGCCATGCCCTCCCAATCCCAAAGAGCCCAAAGCCGAACATACGTATGGGAAGTGCGCCGGCATGGCGCTGCAAGCTCCTCACCCCCCCAGTCCTCTATCCCACTCCGCCCGCCCACCCCCGGCCCTCCCTCGCGAGCATTGCCGGATCGATCCACGGCGGCGCGATGGCCCAGCGTCTCTCGGCCGCCCCATGGCCGAGCAATGCTGGACGAATGCCCCTGGAAGAGGCTAACAGTTCTGCGCGCCTCCAATCCTCGGCTCCTCTCCTCGCCCCACCCCTCGACCCCCCCCCGGAGTTTGGTTCAATCGATCCGCGGCGACGTGCCAGCCCAGCCTCTCGCTCGGTCTTCCCAGGCCCTTGGCCGAGCGAACTGCGGGAGAAGGCGATGGACAGGCGCCAGAGGCTCCTCCTTCCTCCCATAATATCCTCACGCCCTCTCCTGCACGAGTGCGGTCGCTGGACGGCCGCGCGCCGACCCAGCGTTTAGTTCGGCCCCTCCTCCCGCCGCGGCGGCGCACCGGCCCAGCGTCTAGCCCGACCCTCCTGGGCCCAGGGCCGAGCGTGCGTCTGAGAAGTGCGGCGGCATGGCGCTGCAAGCTCCTCATTCCCCCACTCCTCTACCCCACGCCCCTCCCCCCACCA